GGTATTGTAGACTCTGCTCTTTTCTGATCTATATGTTAATTTATTAATCAGTGGAATTGCCCGTGAGGGACCTTCAAAGAAAAGATTTCATGGCTGGGATCCATCTTTAATGTGAATGATTAAATTATTCATTGTAAGATGCTAACACAAATGTTCCTATATTATTGTTTTAACTCTTTGGCTTCAAGGCAAACCTGCTCTGATTGAATGACTTCAAAGAAATGACTCATGTAGGCTATAAAAACTGAACCAATATCTAATCGAACTTCTAAGCCTGCATACTATTTTTAAAAATGTCACGCAGCAAGGAAATCAAATGCTGCCCATGAACCTTGTACCAGTGGTGTTAAAAACATAGGGTATGTTTAAAATAATTACCAAATATCTTAGTGCAAGGTACAGTGTCCATAGTAACCAGGTAAATCTACATAGCACTGCTTTGGATTCAAGAAACTGAAGTTCTGATTGGTTGTTAGACTTTGCTCCTGGCATCGGACATGGAATAAGGTCAGTAGACATAATTAGATTTTATCTGAGTTATAAAAATCCATTGCATCCCTACCCTACATGTTCATGGAGGACCTCAGCTTTGAGTAGAGATTAACTGAACGGAGTTTAAAGCATATCTAAACTTGAAAGCAAAAATGCAATATATTGGAGCGTAGCAATTCTTAAATGTGGTGGTTTCATTCGTTTTTTCCATTTATTTATACCTGGTGATCTGTCCAGTAAGTCTGCTAATTTTCAACTTCCCTTAACAGTCCAAGCTGTCAAGCAAAAGTGTCAGACAGAGGGTTGAGTTCAAAAATTTTACCGGCACACACTGGGAAAGTCAAGTATCAATATTGCATTGATCTAATGAAGGATGTCACATGATGTCATATGGTGCAAACGTTTCGGATCCTCGCTGGGATCCTTCATCAGAGCTACACAGTGACTGATGAAGGATCCTTGCGAGGATCCGAAACGTTTGCACCATATGACATCATGTGACATCCTTAATTAAAAAGATCAATGAAATATTGATACTTGACTTTCCCTGTGTGTGCCGGTGAAATTTTTGCACTTACTACTATTGGTTGCACGGCGCCATCCGTGCGTTCACCTTGAGCACCACAGATAACCTTTTTTAAATCATAAGACCGTAGGAGTGCGAATGATATTTGGAACTTACTGAGACTGAGGGTTGAAACAATGGTCCTTTACCTCGAAAATAAAGAAAAAAACAAAACTTGTTGTAACTGCTTAAAAAGTGTTATCTGTAATTTAGGCACACTCTACATTTTTCTCAGCACAACGGACAGCATCGCAACGCAACGCACCGGTGTGAACTGTCCCATCCACCCCTTGCCCTTGTGTTACCATCCATTGGAAAATGGATGGTAACGCAACAGATTTGGTGTGAATGGGCCCTAAAGAGCTACTAATTTTGTAAGAATTTGCATTAAAGAATTGCAATCCTGGGAGAGATCTGGTTTTTGAGCATATGCTTAGGGACACTAGTTGTTTGATTTTGGGGATCAGAAAGGAGATTTTCCCTGCTGAAGCCAATTGGACCAAGCTTTATACGAGTCTCTGGCCCTCATCTGCAAGTGTACATTGTTTTATTCTTTCATTTGCACTCAATGGACACATTTCATTGTTCAACCTTACTATGTAACATATCCTCTTGTTCCGCAAGCCTGGGCTGTGCTCCGTTTCTGAGAGATCGCAATAGGCCTACAATGGGCAGAGATGAAAACATTTGGTCTATGCATTTTCAGGCCAAGGAGCTGAATTGTCCAGAGCACAAGGCTATTAGCAACAATTGATTTAAGCAATATGGAAGCTTTGCTTTGATGAAAAATAAATTCCTTGGCTGTGTTTCTTCTGTGCGTGTCAAAATGGAATTATTCTTTGAAAGCATATCCAAACCTAAAAGCAAAAATGTAACCAAAAAAATTTCAAAAATATTCACACACACATGTGTGTGCTGGCTGCATTATTTCCTTTTTACAAGCTATTTTCTTTATATTCACCTGATGATCCTGCCAGTAACACACTTCCTGTCCTTGCGTGACAGCCCTCACTAAATGCGCTAAGAAAACTCATAATATTGTTTGATATATCCATTCAGTGCACAGGACTTTTCAAGGGCACTGGAATTCTGGCAAGATAAACAAGTATTTTCTGTACTTGCAGAAAATGTACTTAGACTGTCACCACATTACCTTTAATAAAATCGTCAGTTTTCAGTGTTTTATTTTAAATGAAGTGAAAATTGAAATCAGACATTTTAGTGTGCTTGAATTAAGTAGGCTCACACATTTGCTAATACGTTTATCAGTCTCAACAAACTGGCATTCTGAGTGATTGACAACCAGAGGGATATCCAGTAATGAGCTCATCATTATTATTTATATAGTTGTTAGACCTTATTGTAGATGTAGCCAAAGGATGTTTTCTTCATGTCTTCATGTGTTGTAGAAGCAGTGTTACCTTGAATACTGTATAAGGCTTAATTCACACAACATTTGCCTGCCCCAGGCTACATAATTTATTACTTTCAATGCTTCAGTAAGATCATTCACAGCACGGCCTCCTTCCATGTGTAATGTCTTTATTACCACCGTACATGGGCACAAGTTTGAGTATTTTTGAGCAATTTTTTGTTGGTCACTGCAGCTGTCTTTAAAGAAATAGTGCACCTTAAAATAAAATATATAACAAGCAGCACCCATCCACACTCAATTTTAATATCAGACAGGAAGAGTCAGTTTTTACTCCTCAGCCTGCCTGGAACTGAAGCAGCCTTTTTCCGCACAATGAGGTCTGGCCATGTATGAAAATAATGGCAGCCCCACTCTTTACCTCAACACATGGCTGATGGACTTCCATTTTCCCTATAGTCCCTCCCAATTCTCACTCTGGTGGCCTCAGCTACTGTGAGCCACCATTTCTTCCTGTCTAAGAGATAATTACTAATGTAGACAAGGAGATGGGGTTGTTTTTTGATTTAGAGGGTTATTCACACAGCTGCCGAAGGCAGCTGAGTGAATAACCGAGACCAAGTGAACACATTCGCTCCAGCTCAGCACGGCTGATTTCAGCTGTACATCGGCTGAAATCAGCCGTACATCGGCTCTGTATGGCTTCCTTCGGTCAGCTGAACATGTTCTGCATGTTCGGCAGACCCGAAGTGCAGAGGGACTTCGACTCAGCCGATCCAACATCTTGATGAGCTTAGCCGACGCTCCGGCAGCTCACTCGCTGCCGTTGGCCCCTATTCACACAGGGGCCGAACGGCAGTGAGTGAATTCTCACTTCCGTGGTACCGAGCAGAATGGAAAATAAGTGAAATAAATAAAAGAAAAAAAAAGTAGAAAAATTGTTTTAACATGAAGGAAAATTTTTAAAATTATTCAAATAGTTAAAAAGAAAAGAAAAAAAATAATTTAGAAAAACGCTGGCATAGATGCCAGCAAAAGAAAAACGATTGGGCGGAGCTAGCAGTGACAGCTAGCTGCGTCCAACTGTTAAATATTGGCTGGCACCTGCTAGAGTCTTCTAGCAGGTCCTGGCCAATGAATTACAACTGGGCGGAGCCGAAGGGCTCCAGTGGCCGAAGAGAGGCGAAGCTACGGCTGTATCCTTCGGCTCAAAAGTGAATAACCCCCTAAGTGATTACAATAGTGCAAAGAATAGCCAGCCCTCCCATCGTAGTGATAAATCTCTTCTCACCATCAAATAGCAATCATGTGGCGTGACATTTCGAGGGCACATTCCACCTCTTTCCCAAGGCATATGGGCTTCAGAAACAGGTTCTGTGTGCCGTCGAAATGTAACGTCAGTTATTTACTAATTGAAGCAGCATAAGAGCTATATTACTGGTATTGGAGTGCTGGCCATTGTTTGCAATGACGTTGTTAATGATGCCATCACTGTCCATGCACCCACAGTTGCTGAAGTGAGAGGTGCATGGGCAGGATGGACCCTGTTTGCAGTTTGTATGTGCTCAGGCTAGCACAGCCCAAACATGGCATGCACAGAGCATAAATGTTTGTATTAAGCTGTTCAGCTGAGCATCCCCTCTCACAGCTGGTAGTTGGGGTTAAAAGAATATGTGTAAAGTACTGGTACCCAGGTGAACTATGCCTTAGTATAGATATGTACTGCAAAATTGCATGTGTCCACCTATTCATCAATGGATGTTCCTTTATTATTCTTTAAATTCCTGCATATACTGTAGGTGAGATGGTCAGGTGTTCACAATCCTATTATGAAAATATATATGTATTTGAGCAATGTACTTAACTGATTGTTATGAGCTCAGCCCTAATATATCTCAGCTTTACTTTAGGCTGTTGGGAGAAATCATAGAAATCACATGTTGTGATAGATTGGTCACGGTGTAAGAATGAAACAGTCAAAATCAATAGCAGCTTGTGTTTAGATTTTACAGCATTTATTTCATCTTAGTTTTTATCCTTTAGCTCAAACAGAATGAGAACTGGTGAAAAGAATTCACTTTTAAACTACATTAGGTATTTCCTCTTGTTTCCACATTGATACCATAATCAGTATGTCGTACTTACAACTCGGTTAGATTTGACTTTTATACATGGGTCTCTGGAGCCTGGAGAATAAGAGAGCCTGGGAACATCCAAGGCCTCATCCTGGAAGACAAAATGGCTGGTGATGCTCAAAAGGCAAGAGGGCCCTGATACAAATAGATTACACCACACAATCACCAGGAGAGAAGGGAGCTGCACCGATATCTCATAATTCCTTCCAGGAGGTTGGGAACACTGAGCGCCATGTGCTTGAACAGGGGCAGCATCCTCTTTGGCTCTGACAAAATTTTTTGCTGCCAGAGAGGGATGGAACTAACGAATGTGGGGCCTCGCTGGCAGCAAAATGTTGGCTACCCAATACCGACACTCTAAAAAATCTAGACAACAGTTATAATCTTAGAGTCTTCCAAGTCGACACATTACCTGTGACTGACATATTTTTTTTTAAAAACATTTTTCTTTTTTTTACCGAAACTCTGAAAAATAACCTATTCAGTGGAAAACAGAATGTAAAATTAAAAAGGCAACAAACAAAGCTACAAAGAATCACGGTATGAAGATAGGCAGGTGCATCAGAGCATCATCCCATTCCCGCCAAAACGGAAAGTAGGGAAAAAAGTGAGCAGAGAGGGGGAGAGAAAAAAAAGAGAACACGCACGCACACACACACACACACTCACACACACACAATCGCACATTGCTTGATGCACATTGGACACTGACAACCACACGTACAGCAAAAAGTTTGTGGAGTCCACCCTAAACCTACCTTCGTGCTCCATTAAGTGGCACGTTAGGAGGTTTCTAAGAAGCAATAACACAAGTATTGCTCTTTATCTCTGCTTTCTATAAATAAAAGAAAATACCCTAAAAAAACTTCATAGGGTTCATTGCACCTTTGCACCACTACAAAAAGTGAGCTGTTATATTGACAACCACCATAGGCACAGTACAGTGCTGCTGTGGCCAGCATGTATTTGTAGAAGCTGTGGAAAGTTTGCAGGCTTAGCAGCCTAGAGAGAGAGAGAGAGAGAGAGAGAGAGAGAGAGAGAGAGGTTTCCTGCGGGATAATCCCGCCCTGCCCTTCTCAGCGTCTCTGTAACACTGTTTTGGGAGGTGCCGCTCTTCATGAGGCCAGAAGAACACTGCAGCTGTGCCTGGTACAACAAATATAAGGAAAGTTTTGAAGCACAGTCCTTGTTGAAGAGCTGCAGATGGCACAGACTGGCCCCAAGGCATCCTGTTACCCAGAGTTCCAAGCTGGCTGTTCCTTATAGAAGCCTGCAGGTTGTTTTTGTGCAGACAGTAAGAGCATGGCCAATGCGTTGGTTTGGTTGGAGGTAACCGAAGACTGCAGGAGATCAGAGTGCAGAAAAGCAGTCAGTTCAAGCCTTAAGTTGGTGCCATTGTGCTACAGCTGTTCTCGGATGGGAAATCATATCTTTCCAGTGTTTCACCTCTCCAGGACCACTCTTCCAAGACAGGTAGATCTGCAAAAAGGTACAATCAGTAAGAAGAAAGAAAGAGCTCATTTATAACTATAAAGAAGACCCATCAACAAATTCTGTTCAGTGTGCTTGCGGCAGGACACAATGTAAAGTTGTGATGCTACAAGGGCTATATCATGAAGCAGTGGCAGACAACTAATAGATCTTCAGATGTGTTGGAACTTAAAAATCCAGAATGCCCCATCAGCCAAATTTTTTTAGATTAGATAAGAAAGGTCAAACATGAAGGGGCATGTAGTTCCAGGCAGCTGACGATCGACCAGCTTCCTTTCAAAGCCAGAGGTTTACAGACTATGTGCAGAGGGGAAATATAGCTAAAATCCTCTGGGTCTTTCTACCATTCAGATTTTTATATCCCTATGATTCTGTATAGATTCTGTGTAATTTGCAAACTTTTCAATACACTTTTTGTGACACAAAAAGAGAAAAAAGTCCTCTGGATCCTGATACATTATACAAGCCGGAGCCCTGCTTTTATGGACAGAAAATATATTTTATTTAGGAAACGCATGGTGAACAAGTTTTTATTGATGTAATGGAGGGGGAAGAGATAAAGGTGTTCGAATCTACAAAGCAATGGGCACAGCAGTATTTGCTACACCTGAAACCTCTGTTACATCGCTACTGTAAAGCGTGGTGTGTTTGGTTCAACACAGAATGAGGATCTCTGTGGGTTCACATTCACTCGAGTTCAGCTAGCCTGAAATTCACCACCAATTATTTTATGGTGCAATATAATATGCACGTTTCATTTTGTTCTCAGTCTACTATCTGACAACAAACAGTGAAAAATGGTTGCCTAGGCACTGTCTTTATTTTGTTATATCAACTAACTAGGCCTCTTCACATTAATTTTTCATTTACATCATTGCTGGCTGTAATCCACCTGCAGCTCGTTCCTATTTGGCATCCAATTAACACACCTGTCCTATCTCCAATCCATACAAAATGCTGCTGCCGTCCCCCCTCATCTGTTACTGCGCTGTACAAATCCCTTCCCAGGCTTGGCACATCTGCCTCAATCGCTTCAAAATCCCACACACTTGTATGTAAATCCCTTAACATGTTTCACGCTACCCTCTTTGATCTTTCCATGCGTGTTATTTACAATGAAGGTTTGATCAAAAATGAAAGGTTTGAACACAAGATCATAGTCAGGGTAGTCACAATAGGCACAATAGTATGCATAACTGATATGAAGCCTGCTGGTATAGGGGTTAATTGATCTCCATTTCTGAAGGATGCAGCTGTTTGAGGAAGGACGCAGCTGCAATATATAGCTTAAGGTTTACGGGAGATCTACAGTTATGTAGTTAGGTAATTATATGGTGGCAGATGTCTTTGGAGCTTGATTTACATAACACAGAATGCCTCAGGGTCAGTTCTGTCCTCTGGAGGGACATGTCCTCATAGAACGCCGTGACAAGCCTTTAAAAGGCCACTGCATGCAGATCCAATCACTTGGGGTTAAGGTGAATGTAATGCATAAATATAAATATAACCCATCGACTGGATAATTTTGGGTACTGGCTTAAAGTAACTGTAAAACCACACATGAAAACTGCCCTATTAGCTTGTATACAATATAGTCATTTCAGTTTTAATGAATCATACTTAGTAAATGTCTATGAAATACTTGTTGTCTTTACACGTTTTGTAATAGTGTAATAATGCTAACTACAGTACAGGCTCCCTATTGCTGCGGTATTTTTGTCACCCCACTGTGTGCACTGACACAGAGCATGCCTGCAAGATCCTGCAGTTACAGCATTGTGTCACCCAGGCATGTCTGCCGGCTTGTCTTGGCTCTCAGTCACTAGTTTGCGCTACAGTCCTATCAGGGCCAGTGCAAGGATTTTTGCCTACACAGCCAAAGGTGGATTTTTGCACCCCCTTAGTTGGCTGCCCATACATCCTTGCACTAGCACTAGCCTGGACCACATTGCTAGGGTGTAACATGGTCAAATTGCAACCACCCTTACCTTTATCACAGGGCTCTTCTCCCCAGAGGCTGCTTTTTTTTTTTAAAGTTGTGCAGCTGTGTGTGGCTCCACCAGTCTCACGTCATCCATACCGTCTGCCATCTTTTTTTTTTTTAATGCGGGTGCTCGCGGGGGTGGAGACTTTAATTTTAGGGGGGGGGGTTAATTTTAGTTTAACTTTTTATTTTTTTTTTAATTTTTTTTCTATCTTTAATTTTTTAATTTAACTTTATTTTTTTACATTTTCATTTTTATTTATTTGACTTTATTTTTTTAACTTTTTTAATTTTAGTTTATTTTATTTTTTTAAACTTTTTTTTTTTTTACTTCATTGCTGGAAGCAATAGCCAGCCTGCTATTGGATATTTCAAATTGCAATAGCCAAAAACAGGCTGGCTACTGCACCCACCCACTGCCTGCTGTCAATCAGCCGAGGGGGGACCTGAAGTTCTTCATCAGGTCCACCACTGCTGATTGACAGCAGGCAGTGGGCGGGTGCAATAGCCAGCCTGTTATTGGCTACTGCAATTTAAAAGAGCCAATAACAGGCTGGCTATTGTGGTCAGCTGCTGGAATGGGGATGAATGGGGGCTGACAGCAGAAGCGCAACGTGGAGAGGTGAGCAGACGGGACGGGGACGGAAGCTCCCAGACTGTCGGAGGTTTCTCCTTACAGTCTGTAATTGGCTGTCTGTCCCTCTGACACAGATTGCTGCAGCCGATTACAGCCTGTAGGGAGAAACCGCTGACAGACTGTGAGGCTGCAGCGGGGAGAATGGGACAGGCACAGTTATCTGCCGGGAAAGGGATTCCATTTCTCTGCACCCCCCAACAGCGCCCTCAGGCGGCCGCTTGTGCTTCACTGCACTAGCGCTAGCACTGAATCCTATGACCTGATGGGGCATCCCTGGAAGATACAGAGCAGTGATAGAAAGCTCTGCCCATGGCCCATTTAGATAAAATTTTTGTCAAAGAAGAAATTGGTCGCACAAATGCTAACAAAAAACTGTGAAAATAAGGTGTTTTAAAGGTGGATTTCATACTTTCTTTACTCAGGAGACTTTTGGGCACTTGCAAACATGACATTTTTTCCAGGGGTTTTATATATATACTGTAAGCAGTTTCTGTAAAGAAATTGGTTGCACCTTCCTCTGGATCCCAATCGGCATCAGCAGACAGACTTCTATTGAGAATCTCCACCTCACTAGAAGAAAGCGCAGACTAATTCCTCTGAGAATTTGTTCTGATTAACACTTGACACATTTCTCTCTGATGTCTCTCCTGCAACTATAATTTACTGAAGAGGCCTTTTATTTTTTTATGCTACAGGGCTTGCAAAGCTATAGTCCTGAACCCATTATATTGAAGACAGCTAAACTTAGCTGTACCTATTACATTCACATTTAATTATTTCTGCTTTTTAAGGATCTTTGCACCTTTTAGCAGTTGTAATTTTGCACTCTTACAAATAATTTCATGAACCATCTTCACAAAAGTGTTTCCATGATACAATAGATGTGTGCATACCATATATAAGGCAGCTAAGGAGATACATAACAATATTTCTGGCCATTGGCATTTCCAGGCCCAGTCCCTTGGCTCCTGCCTGATGCCCACTGTGTCTTGCCAAGACTGCTATGAAAATACTTGAACCTCTTCATTTTTCGAAGGGCTTGTGTCAACGGGCTTCAATGGGCAAATGGAGTGTGCTTTTGACATCAGTTTGAGACACTTCTGATATAACCGGCTTTTGCATTCCCATAGACTTGTATGCAGGGAGAAGCAGTTCTGAAACATACAGAAGCCCAATGACACTGGTCCTAAATGGCATCCATAGCATCCCCCCTCCCTGTCCCTTCTTCCTTGGGTGGGTCCCAATACCATCAATAAAGCAGACCCATAACCAATTGGAATTACATCATGATGAAGAAAGATTACCTTTGCTGAGTAAGTTAAATGATCATTTGTTATGAATGACATCACAATTGTACAATTGGCAGTATGTTATGCATAATAATGTTTCTTCTCACACTTACCTTGCCAATGACATCATTACGACTAAGCTTGTCTTTGTCCATGACAGTTATGATTATGGTGGTCTCTCTGAGTTTCTCAGTGGGGATATCAAAGATGAAGGATTCATTAAAGATTGGATTTAGACACCGCTTAATAACCACTGTCTTTTTCTTCTCAACCCTCTTGTCCTTGAACATAAGCCATACCTTCACATAAGGATCTGAGGAAGTAAACATGACAAATAATAAGCGATTTTGTCCATAGTGTATTTAGTATCTTTGTGACCAGGTCAAGAAATCAGTACACTGCATCCTATATTAAATATAAGGGATGTTCAGATACCAAGCACTTGGTACAAGTACATGTACAGATACTTTTACAGCTCCAAGACTAGACTAGAGAAAAACTCAAAAGTTAGGAGGCAGCTGTCATTTTTAAGGAGCATACAGGGCTCCTGGGATTTGTGCATCCCTGTTTTAATGTATAATCTGTTTTATATACAGACACTTCTCAAGTTACGATCGGGTTACGTTCCGTAAAATCCATCGTAATCCGAAAATATTGCAGACTAATGAGTTTACTTGTGTACTGTACTGCCGAGGTGGGCAGCAGACACAATGAGAATAAATAGCAAGGTGGGCAGCAGACACAATGAGAATAAATAGCAAGACTGCTATTGGCTATTGAATCCCAGCCCACTAAGAGGAGGAGTGGACCTGAGAGAGAAAGTTCTGTCTCAGGTCCGCTCCTCTGCTCAGTGGGTGGGTGCAATAGCCAGCCTGCTATTGGCTGTTGCAATTTTAAATAGCCAATAGCAGTCTTCCTATTGATGTCGGCTACAGTTATCTGGCATCTACCGATCCGTGGGTGCCGAATAACTGGGAGTTTACTGTACAGTGCTGTACAGTAAACTCCATCGTAAATTCGAAAAAACGTAACTCGATTGATCTCAACCTGAGGAGCATCTGTATCTATATTTTAGGGATGCACCGATACCATTTTTTCCAGACAAAGTAGCGATACTTGTCCAAGTACTTGTCCAAGTACTTGTCCAGATACCAATTACTGATACATTTTTGTTTAGTGTCATGTGACAGTTTTTCTAACACAATACAGATTAATGATTTCAGGACTGTGGTGGAGCGCCAGGGCTCAGTCGCAGCTGCAACTTCTGTAACCCTGGTAGTTCTTGTGAAAATGCAAAGTATCGACACTGGTATCTGAACATCCCTATTAAATATATAACATACAAAACCAATATTTCGGGTCTTTTTGGGTGTCAATATACTGTACATAAGTGTGACCATAAGGATACCAATGTATAAAATCAATGATGCTTCTAAACATTGAAGCAAACGGTTACTGCTTTTCTTTATCCTCTGCAGTTCCCTGTGGGTTCTTTGGTGCCAGCATTTATTGATGACCTAAATACTGTCAAGTGAACCTGTCACTTTAGGGTAAAGCAGTGCACCTGCAGTTTTACAGATGTATATGTTTCTAAAGTATTTCTTGATATCATTTGCATGTTAACTCATAAGTGCTAGAAGGTCATGTAGTAGGGCAGCCATATTATATCACCAAAATTATCCAATCAGTTTCCAAGCACCTGGCTAATCAACCTCTTATTTTGAAACCAACAGTGTTTAGTATAAAGTTGGTCCTCCCACTGCTGCAATACCACAATACCACCATTTACTTCTCAGAGAAGGCTTTCCTCTACATGTTGGAATGGTGGAATTTACTTCCATTTAGCCACAAAAGCATTAGCGAAGTTAAGCAATGATGTGGGATAATCAACAACTTTCTTTTTCTTTTTGGTTGGGGAAGGGTTGGGACCTCTGTCTATGTACTTATTGGAGACATTGTTACTTACTTCCTGACCTGTGTGACACCTGTCACCTATGGAAAGAAAGCAACTAAAACGTGAGTGTAGAAAGTCTGGCCAAGTCCATAAACAGCTCGATGAAGTAACCAATAGGGGAGAGCTTGCTTATACACATATCACAAATTATAATAAATAGATATTCACAGCCACCATTATGCACCTGGGCACACAGCTTTTTTCTGGCATCTGCCAACTTCAGACCATTGTAGTTTGAAATGAGGCAACAGGATTTATCGTTCCATACAACATGTGTCCACTGGTCCAGAAACAGTAAGCTCTAGACCACTATGGCTGACACTTGGAATTGCGCATAATGATCTTTGGCTTGTGAGCAACTGCACTTCTATGTAAACTAATTTTTCTAAAGTCTTGATGCATAGTCCATGTGCTACATTTTTTGTTACCAAAGACAGTCTGGGATTTAATAGTGAATATTCTAGCAGAGAACACACGTTTTATACACACTACATAGTTTCCTCCTGTGAGTTTGTTTGATCTACCACTTTGTGACCTAGTTGTTGCTGCTAGACATTTTACCAGTTGAGAAGAGCAGTTTTAGAAGCACAAACAAATTGTCAAATCTACTTGTGGAAAAGGTGGCATCCTATCATGATGGTACATGGAAAGCCATTGACCTCTTCTGCATGTCCAATTGTTGAAAATTGCATGCATGGGTGGTAAATTATACACCTGTTTTTGCAAAAGGTCTGTTAAGTAGTCAATTACACTAATTACTGAGGGTGTCTGGATATGTCTGCCCATATGGTGTAATCATAACACCAGTGCTACATTTATACTTCCTGTTCTTCAAGGCTATCGGTTTTGTGCTGCATGCCCATCCTACCCAAGCTGTCTGCGTAAACTTAGTATCATATTAACAGAATCAGATGTTGTAGCCAGAGAGGTTACACTAAGATTGTAGTCAGAAAGACTGGAATAAACAGTTTTCCCACACTGTTTTGGTATACTTAGAACCAACAACCAGAAAAATAGGGCAAATAGTCACCCTACACTAAGTATAGGCAACCTCGGCACTACAACTGTTGTGATAGTACAAGTCCTAAGAGACAATGCAAGACTCTGATAGCCAAAGGCATGACTCCAGGAGACAGAGGCATGATTGAATTCCATGCCCTAAACTTGCAAGACACTAATCTTGAACCTTTTTTTTTTTTACACAGGAATGAGTTACTGATGGTCAGCAACATATGGTGTGGTTGGCTGCGTGCCAGCTCTGGTAGCCTTGCTGACCTTGGCTATGGTTGGCGCCACCACCTTGCGCACCACTGTCAGTTCTCATGCCAAAATATGCTCCCGGCACCTCGACAGGGCACCCAAGGGAGTTGTACAAACAATGCACATATGGATGGAGCTCCGTCACAGCACAGCTGCCCACACTGGACCCGAGGCTGAGGATCCACTCCAGTTCTCGTAAGGTAGGGAGACTAGGTAGATCTAATAAATATTTTTTGGGAGTGTATGTGTGTTTGAGAATGTCTGTGAATGTGTGAGATTGTCTCTGTGGTTGTGTAAGCCTGTCAGTGTTTTTGAGAGCCCGCTCACACTTGTACAGTGCGATAATCGCACAGGCCCGTGCGATTAAAGCACTGTATTATGCAATCGCACCTACCACGTGTTCTGGTGTGGGAGGTGTGTTACGTTGCCATTCATTTGAATGGCATCCCAAAAGCACCTTCCACCCAAAGTCCGATCTTAGTGCGACTCGTGTCGCGACCTAATGACCAATGACAAATGTGGGTCCTGAGGTTACACAGGCTTAGAACCACGTCTTTAAATTGTGTGTTTGCAGCTCCCTGTTCCTATCCAAGCTTATCCCCTAGAGAACACCAGTGCCAATCACACATGCCTCTTTCACAACAACCTAGTAGCACTGCCATGGTAACAAGTCAGTACGTCCTTGGCTAACAAAGATTATGGAAAAGTAATTACAATCATAGTCCCATTTAGCAATGTTTGTAACTTTTGGCTCAGGACAATTTCTGGAAGTGCCATTAAAATGTTTGTTTAGGCAAAGAAACATTTCTTAAAGGCCTTTAATAAAAATCTGCCATGACTGCTGAAAGGTAGAGTAACATAAGTAAACAGCCCTAAACGTCACATTATTATTTACACACCTCTCTCAACCCCTATAAAAGCACAGCAAAGCCTACAGGCAGAATTCTCCTGTTCTCATTCTCCTGCTCCTGATTCAGAGTACCTATTAACAGTTTTCAAAAAGCATTAAAGAACCCCATCCAAGCTCAGAGCACTTTGCATGGATCCTAAGCCTCAAGGGTGACTCATCCAAGCTAGTACATTGCAGAGACCAGTTGCACCATACAGCCCAAAGTAGAGGAAAGTGGAGCACTTGATCAAAGTAACAAGTACCCATTTTGAAAAATAAAGTCAGGAATTTTGTTGCCATTGGTATCTGTTTCATTTATCTTTGTTAAAGTTGTTGCAAATATTGGGTGCAGCAGAAAAAGAAGAAAAGAGTTCAAAAATAACTCCTGAAATCTCAGTTTTGGCCTCACCAGTGTTTATTCAGGATGAATGTTGCAGAAAACCCCATAAAGAGGAGCAGTATCTAGCATCTCCTCGTTTCCCAAGACAGATTAATTATCTCAAAGCATCAATTAGAATACTCCCTCCAGTGGTCAGGCCCTCCATCTGTTATAAATGCGCTTCTAATCTGAGCCTGTTTAATTGAAAGTGTTGCCAACATGATGGGATGCTTACTGTTTATTAAGGTAAACCTATTGCAAATTTTCTTTGCCTTTAACAAATCTGTAAATGAGCCACAGCTACCAATTGCATTGGATAGACCCCAGTTGCTCCTGTGATTGACAACACCCCCTCTACAAACAATAGAAATATGCAAAAGTGATAAGGGTAAGTAAGGGGTGCACAGAATTCTGATGGGCAGACCTAAGTCTCAGGATCACAAGACCTCAAGTCAAGTATCCTTGGTGTCTCAGATTCAGGGCTGATTCACAAAAGAATACATGCATTAACATATGTTGTGTTAGATGTTGATTGATTTATTACCCTACATTGGGCTCTTATAGGAACTTTAATGACGATGCAGATAAGAATATCCAAAAAGCAGGACCTTCTTTAACCCACTGCAGTGCAACTCATTGGTGAGAGCAGGTCCTATTGCAAGCAATGGATCATTTCTTGTTCATACGTTTTGCCTGTGTAGGAAAATGTGGTATTAATAAGACTTTATGTAGAGTACTTCATCTGAAAATAAATGAAAATTTTGGGATTTTGAATAAAATAAGCTAAAATGCACCCAATTAGGGATGCACCGATATATCAGCCGCCAAAACATATCATCAGAAAATGGCACTTTTGGCAAACGCCGAAAGTGCCATTTTTCTGCCGATACAGCGGCGCATCTGTTCTTTCTCTCCTCCCCTCTAGGCGCTGCTCTTTGTCCCAGCGGGGAGGAGAGAAACTGTTACAGGTGGCTGAGCGCTGTGGCAGGAGAGCATTGTGAGCGGACCCCTAATATTTCCCTGAAGCATATAAAAGTAAAGTAAAAAATAAAAATATTTAATAAAAATAAAATGTGAAAAAATTTAAAAGTTTATAAAAAGTGAATAAAAATAAAATATTTGTAAAAATTTGAAAAAGTTAGAAAAAAACATTTTCGGTTTCGGCCCGACATTTTGTTTCGTTTTGGTTTTAAAATTTTCATTTCGGTGCACCTCTACACCCAATCCTTATGGGGAATGTTATATGTAAGACATAGATGAATATGAGCAGTATTGTATATGTCTAGCAGGTGCCCCAAGTTTTCAACCTTCTCCCCAACCTTCCTTGCACCTCTTCCTTCCCCTAAACTGTACCTCTGTGATTAGAATCTTCCCTGGCTTTCCTATACCAGTTATGTGCTACTTGTACTTCCCTTCTGCTGTCGTTAGCTAACCTTAGACACACACAGAGCATAAATGTCTTTGTGAGCACAGAATAAAGGCTTCCCACTTCAATCCCTTTATCCCGTGAACTATGAATATGTCTGAACTACACAGATGTTTTTATTTAAAGGACAACTCCACTTTTGTTAAATGATTGATATATGCAACTATTACAAAGACCACTGTTTCATTTCAAGTAGCAAATAACAGTTTGCTGCAGAGTGAAATAGAAACGTAATTAGCAATAGCATTGATTTGTATTTCTTTAGTTATGAATAGAATGGGGAAAGGTTAGGACCTCTGTCAGGTTTCATAACTATCCTTTATGTGAAATGTTCTCTCATTTTATGTCCCTGTGACACAACAGGAGGCTTGTGTCTCACACCAAAGGAGGCAAAGATAGCGACTAAAATCCTAAAAGAGATCCTATCACTTGCCTTCCTATTAGATTGTAAGCTCTCACGAGCAGGACTCTCCTAAACCTCTTGTATGCAATTGTATTGGAACTGTATTGTCTCCCTTTGTATTGTAAAGTGCTGTTCAAACTGTTGGCACTATATAAATCCGGTATAATAATAATATTAATAATAATATCAAAAATAATAATAACTCTTTTCCAGTATACTTGTGAAAATGTTTCATTTCTGTGTGTGTCCCTGTTGGAGATAATCTTCCTACTCCCTTTTATGGTTGCAGAATGAGAATTAAAAAACCTGACAGAGGTTCTAACCCCTCTTTACTGTCTGTATCCATTACTATCCTACCACCCACAAAAATGTATCCTGCCTGGAATGTTGCTTTAATGGTATAACACATTACCTTTCCATTTCATTCTGCAGCCAACTGTGTTTTTTTTAAAGTGGTCAAATATTTCCATTACTTGCAACCATGACATCAGTACTTTTGTACAGAACGCCCCCGACATCTCGCTTCCTGCTGATGTTATTGGCTTACTGCACAGAGCTTGAAGTAAAGCAGTCACCCCCCACCACCCTTTCACCTTTGTTAATATACTCTACAGAGATGCTGTGTACGCAGTGATTCTCTTATTACAATGCCAATCATCTGATTATAGCTGGAACATTTTCCTACTTAGCATTCCGTGTGGGCTCTTCCATACCATTTCCATAGAGCTGCATTTTGCTTCCCACCACTGCACTTGTATGGTGTGAACAGGCACATAGGAAATTGTACGTTGCCTATTCACACCATACATGTGTGGTGGTGTGCAGAAAAATGCAGCTCAAGGGACATGGTGTGAGCAAGCCCTTTGTGGATAGGACTGTCTCAGAATCTGCAGATCAGAAGCTAGTGGGAACCTGGAATAAGGTTCGATAAAAAGTCCTGCAAGAGATAAAAACTGATTCTGAGGCATTTTGTTTCTTTTCTCGACAAACATGCATTGTCAGTTTATTGCATGCAAACCACTGATTGAATCTATTTAACGATGGAGATGACACATTTAAACAGGAGATGACACATAATGGGGGAACAAATATGTAGTAAAGGTAGAGGCAGCACAAGGACGGAAGTAGTGGAGCAGGAGCAAAGGGATGCAGTGGGGACCTCTAACCTCCCCTGCCTGACTGCAGTTTCAGCTCACTACTATGTCACTGGTAATATATATATACATATATATATTGTAATATTTCACTAAACACGAGTTCTCCCATCACAATCCTCTTTATGCAGCATAAAATTAATTTAACCCACAAGAATCAATACTTTTTAGACATGCTTTGCTATCATTTTAAAATTATTTCCAGTCATACCACGCAAATAAACCTACATATCAGATCGTGCCTAGCATCTCAGAGGACCACCAACCTCTACATTCTACATCAGAACAGCTTCACTAAACTGGATTATTTTATACTTCCTTCAATTTTTCCATACTGCTTCAATAAATATTGACTTAAGCAGTCCAAAGAACAGCACATTAGCTGGTATGATCAATATGCTGAAAAAATGGGAGTTTATTGTGCAGTTGGATAGTTTTCACTGAAAGGCACAATTCTCTATTACTGGCTAATTGGGCATTATGTTGAATAACTGGACAGCACTTCAGCCTTGAATTGCCAAGGTCATGGTTTAAGTTCCACCTAGGTGCTCTTTGTTTTGTGTTAATGTAGGCACCTTACAGGTATGTCTGTATCCCTCCCAGCTCCCAAATTGCATTCACTTCAGTCTAGAAACTCATTTAAATCTGATTTCACCTTAAATAACTCTAGTGTGTGTGCTTGTTTGGCTCTTAAATTGTATAGGGACAGATGTGAAGACCGTGGTTGCCAACCTGAAGCCCAAGGGCTGCATGCAGCACCTTGGCACATTTTGTGTGGCTCTCAGTGCCCTTGCAGACAGTGGTCTGTGTTGGTGTTTACTCATGCCAGTGAAATGAGTGTATTCCAGTAGTTAATGGATTGTTTTTTTTCTTCCACACTATCTTACTTTTTTATGTGCCGTCCATCCCTTTACTCTTTGTATGTGTATTTTTTAACTCTATTCTTTTATAATCTTCGCTGAGAGAAAGGTCAAATGTTGCACAAGTAAAATGTATGGCCATATGGAGAAAAAATGTGGAAACGTTGATTTGTAAAAGATCTGTAGTAGCAGTGATCTCTGGCAGTGCGATGTAATGTGTCTCCAGGCTATAAATGTCTCCTAAAGCAGTCTCCAACAGCTCCTATAGAATGTCCTCAGTCTCCAATAACTCCTATGGTGCTATGGTCTCCAATAACTCCTATAGCATATTCCCAGTCCCCAATAACTCCTACAGCATGTCCCCAGTCTCCAGTAACTCTTAGGGCATGTCCATAGTCTTCAATAACTTCTATAGCATGTCCACAGTCTCCAATAACTCCTATAGCATTTCCCCAGTCCCCAACAACTCATACAGCATGTCCCCACTCTCCAATAACTTCTATAACATGTATGCCATCTCTGACCATCTACTATTACATGTCTTCAGTATGTGACATATTTCTGTAGTACTGTATCCAGTGAATATCATGTGTGGCCCTTTGCAGATGTTAGGGGTCACACTTGAGGCCCCCTATATCAAGTAAGTTGACTTCCACTGCTCTAAGTACTGTACTTTGCAAAGTGCCGCACAGTTTGTTTGCACTACATAAATACATCTCTAGAGCAAAGCCAGGGACATATCAATAACTATAGCAGTCTTCCTGGATGTTTTAGGGCCTCCAGATATGGGGGTTCAGAAAGTAATGGGGGTGGCTGTGTCATGACTTCATGTGAGTACAAGGCAGGCTGATTGTTTCTCCTTAGGTCCCCTAATCACCTGCAGCTGGAAGGCTGCTTCAATTGTGAGCGGCCCTAACTCAGGACCCTGTGTTGCACATTCAAAGTTCTATCCTATTACTGATCATTAAACATATCATTGACAATATCTAAGAATTATTTTTCTGTTCACTGTTAACTTGTTGCCTTTATATTGTGCCTCGGAATTTATGTATATTTATGTATATTTGCAACTGACACTGTTTGCCTATGGAGAAATATGCTGTATTTTGGAAGGAAAACACTTTAAATCTTCTGTATGTGTTTCAACTCTGCATTTAGCTATTTGGCCAGTAAAGATCTGTTTGGTAACTTAGCAATGTGATAGCATGGTGCTGTTTTATGAAATATTAAGATCTGACATTTTTCTTTGCACATGCAAATAAATAAATAAATAAATAAATAAATAAAATCAATAAACAAGACTTTTGCTCTTTATGTGTTCAGACCTGAGGTTCCCCCGATGTCCATGGCTTTTAGATTCCGTGCTTTGATGATGTTGACAATGATAGAATTCGCTGAGGGATTGAAGCAAAGGGACAGCAGCAGTTCACCACGTTTTCCCTGTAACACACAAACAAGCTGAAATGAACAGCCTATTCCATGTACTTCAACATTTATGGATTGTTATAGAGGGAAGAAATAACATGTTAGCTTCAGTCCCAGTACTTTAATAGGCAAACAATACATTGGTATTTACGAGGGTACATCTTAAAGGACCTATTAATTATATGTAAAAGGTTCTTTTCTGATATTTTAGGGAGTGCTACCATCCCACACAACAATTTCAACACAACTACAAACAAACCACAATGGGACTTTTTAGGTATATGTATTTAAAATTCATAGATCTTTTATTGATACATCATGAATCTCATATCACTGGCTGACGTATATTTTTGTGCATTCGTACAAAGACCAAAGCTCCTCCCCCAGACAGTCATATAAATCTAAGCATTTATGCCCAGTTTAACACTAACCCTCCCTGTAAGCCCAACACTCACACTAATCATCATATTAACCTTCTCTGTAGCTTAACCCTTACACTAACCCTCACTGTAAAGACAACACTAACCATAACACTGTCACTAACCCTCAACACTCACACTAAGCCTCACTGTAACCCCAATACTTACATTGGGTACCCCTTAAAAATAACCTTCTCTAATGTAAACCTAATCCCTAGTTTACATACTCTCCCCTCCTACACTGGGATTATCTGTGCCAAAGACCAACTCCTCTGTGCCATAAGACAGTGTTCCTAAATATCAATGACAAAATCATGCAATGAAGACAGGAGATCAAATCCTGCCCTATTTCACCCCCCAAAAATTTAGAGCAGATCTACTTTTATTACAAATGAATACAATATGCTTCATAATGATTCTGAGGTAGTTCCAGCAAGAGTTTCCCCATGCTTCTTATTATGCTCTTAGGCAAAGTGTTAGTGTCATTTATAAATGAGGTAGGCTAATTGTGTTATTGTTGTTGTTGTTGTTGTTTAGCTCTGGGCCTTTCTTGGTTTTAATGGGAATTATGATCCAGCAACAGCTAGCCTGCAGTAAGAAGGCATGCATTTGCCTCTCCGGATACTTGGCTTTGTTACAAGCTCACACAGATATATTCAGGTGATGAAAATATTCAAAGTGAGAACATACAATTATATCATTAGCAGAGCAGAAGGATACAGAGTATCCCTTGCCTTCTTGCTTCTATGCATCTGCTGGCTCTTTGAATGGCTGTAATTATATGTTGCGATACTTTGTGTCTTTCCTGGGACAATAAAAAGCGGAGGAATGACTGTGTGTTATCAAAGAGGAGAGATGAATGAACTGTAAATAATAGGCATGCCAATTAAAGAACAAGGCAGGAGTTCAAATTGTGTTCATGGATACATATCAGTGTCTGTATTGCTCATGCTGAACAGTTCTGTGGACAGGAGGCTTGTCTGAGTTTACATTATCATTCCTATATTCAGTATCTGCCAATATGTCTAACTGTACTATGCAGAAAAACTAAAACCATCACCATGGACATCTGCTATACCCTTCAGCTTTCCTTTGACTTTGTAACTAAATGGTTTATATTTTTCACTATCATGTGTGCTAGGCCTGTCAATCGGTAAATCTCAAAATACTCTGTTTTTTTGTGCTTGAAATTGCCAAGCCATATCCTGCATAAACGCAGATAAGGGAATTGGCCCTTCATTCAGACGTCAACAGTGGTATGTAAGCAGGTAGTGGAGATAGAGACTCTAGGGGATAGGATAATACACAAAATATTTCATCATTAACAGCTCAACATTTCAATCCAGTTATGGACCCATATTTTTATGTCCCTTGGGTGTCTGCTCCTTTACTGCTTTGCAGAGACACAGAGGAACAACCTGCTGGCGAATTCTCCCATACTCCTACCATCTAGTGCTGGATCTTTTCCAATCTGAATTTCATGTCTAGCCCTCTGTGTTTATAAAAATTTCACAAAAGTGGATAATCATCGGCTTGAAGCAAGTACGGGGGCCAAAGCTGCTCTTTTGCTTATTCTTTCAGAGTACTCTTTAGGTTATTTTCTATCAGCTCCTTCAGGACACATCCTTTAGGGTGCTGTTCATACTCAAGACTGTTATGAATTGGCACCAAAGTATCAGCCTGATAAGGTATAGATCAGATAGTTCAGTTTTTAGCTTTACTAGGTTAAGTTTCAGATCAGAGATTAGGGGGTTACGTTTAAGTGTCAGATTAAATGTTAAAGTCACTGGGATAAATATGGGTAAGTGTTGGGATTAAGGCAAAAATTTAGAATGAGTGCTGGGGGTAATTTTACAGGTTCGGTTAGGGGTTATGTAATTGGGTAGATTAGGTGTTGAGGGTTAATATTCAGAGTAAAGCTGCCCATACACCTTGCGATCATCGGGTGACATGTTTTGTCCGATGATCGAACCGTCGTACAATTTTCATACGGCGGCCCCATCCTGCCCCGATTATTGAAAGGTTGGATCAGCGGTAATTAAAAGAAAGCACCTGGATGAATTGTGGTAATCGGCCACATGTTTTATCGTCTGCGCATGTGCAGTGTAAATCGTACAAATTTTGTACAGTACAGAAACGCCACCAACGTTGCGAAAATCGTACGATCGACCAAAGTTTTCTAACCTGCTGGTCAGTGAAAAGTCAATCGACTTTACAGTATTTGCAGTTGTACACAGCCCATCAACCGTACGAATATCAGACGAAAACACGATCACATATGAAAATCGGCAGATATTCGTAAAATGTATGGGCACCTTAAGGCTGAATATCCAAGCCATACACACATCTAAATCTGTTTCCAATGATTAAACTGATTGCATGCTCTGTAGTTCCCTTAAGGTATAACATTGTGGTCCTTGCTGCTGAGAGACTCCACAAGAACTTTGGGGTTTCATTGAATTGTGACTATCAATAAGTCGAACTCATAACTGATGCATTTGCGACTCATACTTTTCCATGATGTGCATGGTGAGTTTTTTATTCTCTGACTTCAGCTGGGATTTTCTGGTAGGGAACGATAATCCTAATTTAATCTGTTCTGGGTGATTGACTTGTCAAATGTTTCCTCCCTTTAAATACTTTACAGAAGATGGAATACTAATACCCATATTAATGGTTTTGATTAAAGAAGTACATCAATCAAAACCTAAAATTCAGTAATAAATGCAGTATGAATATTTATTGTGTTGTATCTACTTTTAGAGGCAGAAGTATTACACCGTTCCAATCCCATTTGATGGACAACAGCTGGCCTGAAATGTTCTCCTTAACTTTTAGAGCAATGGTCCCTAACAAGGGGGTTAAGGGGCATTTATCATTAAAATCTGCCACAAGGGATCCATTACAACGAAATAAAATATGCAATTAGCAGTACCTTCTGCCTGTCTCCTCCTCCACTCCAGCGATGGAATGTATCTCAGCATTCTCATGTCCACTACACTGTATTGGACATGATGACTCACTGGACCTTAGACCGCTGAAGTGGAGGGGGAGCGAGTCTTGAGGGTCAGGTCTAGCAGTCAGCCGGGATTGAGGTATGGGTGATTAATACTCTGTTTTTTTTTAGCTCTCTAGAAAAAATGAGCCCTTGCAGTGCGGGAGTAGTCCGCAACTGGTGCTAAGATCGCCTGTGTTGCTGATGTAACTCCCCCGGTCATGTCACAGTGCTTGGACCTACTGTACATGCAGCTACAGATGTCAATGATGGCTTGTTAAAAAGCTCTTTTACTGCTTGTTAAGAATATGTAAAACATTAAATGTCCATAGTCTGGGCACAGATGCACATTAAGTGTAACCGTTGCGGTGTGTTGCGGTAAAGCAAGAGTGTTGGCCAGCTCATCCAAAATGGGTTAGGGTTGGCTATGCACCTCAATGAGGCCTGCATCTTTTTTGGCAGCACACCGCAATACACACCACGGCAGGCCAACAGAGGCACACCACGGCCATCATTAGTAATCCGATGTATGTAAAGTCACACTCAACAGTCAGGACCTCGATGAAAAAAAGTAATCTAAAACATTACAAGCATACCAAGATCCACAGGCTGTGACATGTTCTGCCAGAAATGCTTAGGGCTTGTTCACACCACTGACAGTGTGCTCCAGCGTGATCACAAAAAACAGTGCATGCAGTATTTTTTTGCAATCCCACTGCACTGGAACGCAGGCATTATTGTGCCATGCGTTCTGGTGCGGGCAATCACACTGCAGGTGGGGGGCGTGGCTGTGGTGCCATTGACTTTACTGCACACCACTCCCCTCCAGCCCCAAAACGCAGAGGGGAGTTTAGTATCCAATACAGTGTGTTCCAGCAGCTAACACTTGTTCAGTGTTGTGAACAAACCCTAAATAATAGAGGACGGGTCTGATGGGTGTTGTTTGAAAGACAGTATGCACTGTGAGGGGTTCTCAGTCCAAAGCTCCACTTGTTCACAGAAGAGGAATAGGAGAAAATGTATGTGCAACATCAGATAAGTCAGAGAACAAAGTTAAAATCCTGCATCAGTATTACCGTGTGCAGTCCTAAGGGACAATGTAGGGGACATGAACTGGCCAACAACAATATCTTTTATGTCCAAACATATGTATCAAAGGAGATTATGCCAAGCTGATAGCCAATCTTAGTAGTAAGTATAATGCGATAAGCAATTATATTACTTCCAGAACAAGTCCTTTTACAGTTTGCACCACTTGGCCCAATAGTGTCTCAATGGTGACACCTATGTCCTCCGCTAAGGGGAATTGCTGCAGGAAGAGATTTATCTTTTCTCTAGGTCTATCCAACATACTATATTGTGTTCCTAACTATCTCTCCTCTATTTTTTTTCAGTTGACCTCCTGAATAATATCAACACTATTCTAACCCTCAACATCAAATCTCCCACTTTACAATGTTGTACGTGTGAATAATCCCATATTGCTTTTAATCTCCATGATCTGTCTCACCTGTATGACTGTGAAATCTGCCCTATTGCAATGTTCAGTGGCTTAATGTCATCACCCTTCAAAGCTTGATTACTGAGTTTTATCCTTTGGT